CCAAACTGGGCTGATCTAGAAGTTGCAATAATATTTGGTATGTGATTTCACAGAGTTTGGGAAACCATGTGCTGGTGTATTAAACTAAATAACTAAATAGGAATCCCTCTGGAAATGGGAAAAAGAAGAACTCACATGCATACATGTGTACAAGGAATCTTCCACAAGAATAGGGTCCTAGACACTGCCCTTGCTTCTATGAATAGCATCTCAATACCTCTAATGAGATCATTTGTTACAGTGTTGCCTGCATTGTGCAGTGTTGCTTGCACTAAGCAACTTTAGTTATATATCTTATCCGTTTCATTCTTTTCATTTCATGCTTCACAGTTTAATTTCATTTCCACCTCTGAAGTACAGCAGAGTTGTTAGCTCCACTGTACTACTTCAGATGCCACTGAAAATTCAATTATATCTCAGAGGAAGAAAAACAATCGGAAAGACTGGCTTCAATCAGAACCTGAATTGCCATGCCCAATTTCTTGACAAAACAGTGAGTCAGTGACAATGTCAGTTACTTCTGGCCTTTCCCAGCTGCCATCCTACATGTTGCTTAAAATTCTCAACACTATGGCTGCAATTTCAGCTGCCCTATAAATATGGCAAGTTACAGCTGCTGGTAAAATAAATGGTTCCTTTCATTCTACAGTAAGTGGTAAGAGGCAGAAGACATGCTTTCACTCATGTAACTATGATGTAATTCCAGCTGAGCAAGAGTTTGCAGAATGGTGCTGCCTGCCTGTGGCTTTCTATCTTTACAGAAGAATTGTAAGGAATAAAAGTTCCCCACCTCTTCCTTTTCCTGGCAGGTAGGTATGCCCGCACATAAAACACCTTTGGATGCCATATCGAACAATGTGTGATGGGGTCAGGATTCTGCTGCAGAAAGGAGTTGTCCCAAAGTATTTGCTCACCTGTTTTAGGATACACGCTGCTATCAAAGCATATTATTATTTTTAAATCCCATAAAAATATTGTACTTCATTTGAAGAAGAATGTGGAGATAGGAAATGAACTATTTGTAAAGCATACATGAACACCAATTGGCTTATCATACCAAAAAGAACACTATGTCAGCCTAACATCATAACAACATTAACTATTTTTTAAATACAATATTCTGCCTCACAAAACAAAACAAACCATGGTGGTGGCTACTGATCAGAGGCTGATGAGGCTGACAGAAATGTCCAAGGCCAATCCATCTGCTTTTTGCTCTACAGAAAATTTATTTATTATTTTTTTATTTTCTGACAGCCACATCCAACATCATAGTAACTGCACAATACTGAGCATAAATGTGCACACACATTTCAGGTGTGTTCTCTGCCCTCAGACCAGTGCAATAAACAGGTGTTGAAACAATTTCCCCATTTAGATCAGCATACCATCAATTAACAGAGCACACAAAAATGGAGTGCTACACAACAGAATGTGATTGTGGATTTGCTCCTTTTGTTTAAAGGATATTTTATTTTTTGTATTATATTTTAGCTTTTTTCGTAGTTACTTTCATATTTTCATATGACTAAACTTGCATCCAATTTCAGAGAGCTTTAAAAAATGGCCACAAGTCCATGAAATCAGCTGGATTTGGATTATGCCAGTCTGCTGAAGAATGTATGAGTTGAATGCATAGAAATTTTAAGTCATCCCTAGTATATAGGCAGCCATACGCACACGAGCGCACCAGATATAAAATCTAATCCCACCAGCAAGCTACAGGCAGGCCATAGGCTGAAGATTCAATAGTGATATCCAAGGTCATTGGGATAAAACACAAAATATGAATATGAACAATTTCAGAATGAAACTGAGGCAAGAAAAGCAAGGAAGAGTCCTTGTCAATTTCCTGTTGATGGAATATTCCACTAATGAAGCAGTGAATGACAATGTGATGTTTTATAACACACTATTAAAACATTTTCATTGCATGTGTAGTCTGCTTAAAGGGTAAAGGGAAAAAACAAGCTTTCTGCATAGTCAAGAGGTAGGGTTCAATGGAACAACCTACTTGATTGTATAGGGGAGGAATTAATGAGGTTGTTTAGCAGCAGATCAGAATTCTATTCCATCTCTTTCTGACAGTGAAGCCAGCTACCAGTTTACCTAAGTGCCACTTGGTTTAACTCATCTGGTTGCTTTTTCTTTCCTTACAATATAAGTAACATATTCATAGAGACTGAACTTACAAAGTCTAAGCTTGGAGCACTTAAGAAATCCTGGGTTACTGTTGTATACTTTTAAAGAAGCATTTCCCCAGAAACAGGACACGTGTGCATGTACGTCCTTGTTGAATGAACTCGGCTGCTGCTATTGTTCCACCATCAAGGTGAATAGCTGTTTCCTTCCTCAAAGTAAATGAGGAAGCTTTGCAAAAGCTCACTGGACCACTTACCCCAGAGTCTGGATTAGGTTGAATTCATTATAATGATAACATGGTGCTGTTTGCCCTTGATATTATATTAGCTGCTTTCTAATCATTAGCCTGAATGCATTGCCTGATGCACTTTAGCTAACAACTACTAATTCATTTGGCTTTCAGTGAATCTGAGCTTGCCAAAAGATGACCAGGATCAGTTTTCTCTGATGACCTTCGAATTGTGTAAATTTTATTTCAGAAACAAATAGAGAACAAAACTGGTGAAAAGAAGACCACGCTCATGGAGATTCAGCTGCAACTATGAATGATTAATAGTTTGGCTGGAGAACCATGGATGGATGTACTTCTTGTTTTAAATCTGCCCAAATGGATGATTTGCAGGATGCTGTTTCAAGGTCACCAGATCAAAATACTGTAATTTGTTATGGACATGTCATTGACACATACTTGGAAACGGCAAAGATAAAAGAAACTGCATCCTTTATGTTATTTTAATTTCCATCACAGTTGAGTTTGTTTCAAATACATAGGAGGTAAAAGATAAATATAAAATATTTAGGAGAATTTCTCTAAGACTTGAAAAACAACAATTCCAAGATTAATTCTTACATCTTTCCTTAAGAAAAAAAACTGTGTACTCATGATTATGTATTTTAATACACTGAGGGCAGAGTAATCCTACAGTCCTCTAGACGACTTCTAGAAGGCCCTGGGAGTTTTCAGATTCAAATCCAAAGTCCTCTAGAAGCCCTAAGTTTATTTGTGTAAACTTAGAGCTGTAATTTTAGAATTACAGTGTGCAATCCTACAAAACTGACTGAAACCCTTCAGACTTGGCACCTGAAGCAGGAGGAGTGCAGAGGTGACCCTTGCTTTTGTGTTCCCCCCATTCTACACAGGATGCCTGTAAGCGTCTGAGTTCAGTGGGTTATGGACATTCCCAATGGATTGTGTCTTTAATCTTTCTTTGTAAAACCCTTAAATATTTTTAAATATTGTAAGGGGCATATAAATTTATGGAATTAATATATACAATAGATGTGCTAAATTGGATCACTGTGTAGGGCAATGTCTCCCAGAACGGTGCTCTCCAGATGTATGAGACTTTCATATCCATCAGCACCAGTCAGCATGGCCAATAGCCAGGAATGCTAAGAGCAGAAGTCTAACACATATAGAGAGCATCTGAAACATTTCCAGTGCAAATTTCCCTATGCAAGTGATCCTAACTTATTCTAAGATGCATGGGAATTGTTTTCTGGAAAGCCCACATCACTATATGGTTGTAGTTATGATTATTCCTATTGAGTTCAATGGGAATGATGTGTAACTGATTGAACCCTTGAGATGAGGAAGCACAAATGATTGTCCACCAGGAACTATTTGCAAGACTTCATCATATAAAATTCCAACTGTCTTAAGAAAATAAGATTTTGTACATGAAAATACTATATTTCTACTATATTTCAAATCAAGTCTTCTTGAACATGAGACATTTGGCAGTTAATAGGTTATGCTTCTGAAAATACTGTTAAGTTAGAAAGAAGGCACATTGTCAAATGCAAAACAAATGTACTTCTCACAAAGAAAGAGATATTCTGAAAAGATCAAGATGAAAATTTCCGTAAACTCAAAATACTAAGTTGTTAGTATGTTAGGTGCAGGGTACAAGGACTAAAATTACCTGAAGTGCATGTGAGACTAAGGGTTCAAATCTATTCAGATCTACATGGAAGTAAATTCCATTAAATAGAATAGGGCTTACTTCTGAGAAGACATGCCTAAGAGTGTGCTGTCACTTTGATGAATAAATCATAAGTTGCACTGATCTTCAGAACCATCTTCTCATACCATAAATGAAACAGCAGTAAAATAAAGCAGTAAAATACAGGAAAACCTCATTATTCTAGTTTCACCTAACAAATTTTTAAAGGGACAATTCCCTGTATTAGAATCTGTGCAAAGTAAAGCAAATGGTACTCCACCACGAATATTACATAAAACTCTTTATAGCGAAAGAACAACAACCTCTCTACCTTTGTTTACACCGTAAAATATCATAATCCCTGCTCTACAAGTGCATTCTGTAAAGCAGTCTTCCCTAACCTGATGTGCTCCAGATGTCTTGGTCTTCTGTACATGCACCTGGGAATGGCTTTTCTTGAAGATCAGTAAACATGGATACAGTTGCAAGTTTTGGATTTGGAAGCTTTGGAGTGCCCTGGGCAAGGAATCTGCAGTGTCTCTCTTCCCTCGTTGAGTCGGCCTTCTCACAGTCATTGCCACCAGCTGCTATTGATCCTTTCTCTTTCTCATCACTGCTAACCTTGCTTGCTTGACAAGTGGAGAATCAGCAAGCTGGCTGGGAATACTGGGAAGCCCTTTTTCCTGTTCTAACATGCATCCTAACTATAGCAGCGTTGTATATGGACATATCCAGCTGTTCTCCATCATGGTGTTGTTACCCTGGGGCATATTTGTGTTGCACTGTGCTGTTCAAGGCCTTCGGGTTATGTTGGATTTCAATCACCAATTAGACTTTTCTTGTTTAACTTTCAAGTTGTTTTTTCTAATTAAAACAAAACAAAACAAAACAACAAAACAAAACACCTCTTACCATCCAAGCTGTGACAAAATCTCCCATCCATGTCCCCACAGCTGCCACCTTCATAAAACTTTCATTCCTGATGCCCATGAAGTCTGTTACAATGTATGCCCTGAAATGCAAAGAGTGCATAACCATAAGTTACAGATGGTCAAGTTACTGCAGAATTCCAGACAGTTCAGTCTAGCTGGCACAAGGATGAAAGGAAAACCTCCCAGCTGCCATTGACAGCTCTACTTTTGTTTTGCAGTCCATTTAATCGTTTCCTCATTGCATTTCTATTCTGCCTATCTTTCACTATAGAACTTAAACCAGCCTTTAGGGTTCTAACCAGCTATATACTGCAACTATATCAGCTTCATTTTAGCAAGGTGGCTGCATCATGTTCCCTAAGATATGCTAACATCTGACTATATGCATCCTTATTTCCAAGAGAGTACTACTCAATTCTGTGGAGATTATGTTCAAGTAAACGCACTTTGGTATTGCAGCTTATGCCTACAATCTTGTATGCAATTACCTAGGGGTAAGTAAATCCAATTGAACTTAGTTCTGAGTAAAATTAAAAAGGATGAAACCTTAGGTTCATCTTCAGTGAATGGACTTGTAAACCAAAAGTGAGGGGATACTTATTAATCGGTAGGAAGACAGCATTATTTTGAACTACAGTCCACACAATGCTAACAGACCAAGCCAAATGAATGGCAAAAATTCTTCTTGTACCAGATCTATCTCAGCAGCTGCTGTAAGAAGGAACTACAGTGGTTTCCCAATGGTTTTTCTCTACAGATGGTACCGGAATGGCATGAAATCTCATCACTCTCAGAACATGAAATTTCCTCAATCTGTGGAAACAAATTCTAATTGAAGTATTGAGTCTGAGCATTCTAGCAGAGCTGGCATACCTAAACTTATAATGAAAGGCCAAAGTCGATTTAATAGGGACTATTAGAGATTAAAAATCCCAGCACTGTTTCCTTTCTTTCTCTAGTAGATTATTATCCTACCATTTTTCTTACAAAGAACTCAAAGCGCTTACATAATTCTCCTCCTGCTGCTCTCAGTCTTATCTGTACAAAACAATGAGGTAGGTTAGGCTGAGATGCTTGACTGGCCCAAAGTCACCCAGTTAGTTCCATGGCTAAGCAAGGACTTGAACCCAGTTCCACTCCAGTGCTCTTAATCACTATACCTCACAGGCTTTCTTTGAGTAAGGAAACTTGCAGGATGGGGATGCAATTTAGATTTGGAGTGTGGTACTGGAGAAGGGAGGAGGAATCCTGCTTCCTGTGCCAATTCAAAGAATAAAAGGGCTTTCACCCAAAGTGCCCTTAGAAGGAGGGGAAGGAAAGGCATTTAAAGGAAGCAGAGACATGTACAGAAAATGATATCACAAGAAGATCCATCTTCCATATTACATCCAAGATTTGCACAAGGAAAGAAAAGCTGTTAACTCTTTTCTCTTGACCCTCAGTGTAGAGAGAATGGCTGAGGCTGCTGTCTGAACAGCTGTTGCAAAAATGAAGGCTTTTAGTCCTGCCTTTGAAAGAGAGACAGCTGACCTGTAACCATCTGAATTGTACAGGCCCATTGGAAAGAACAGTGCAAAACACCACCTTTCACTGGATTCTAACAAGAAGCATTTGCTGCCTGTTGTATTTGTTTGTGTGCTTGGGTGACTAAATGGAAAATGAATTACTCACCAGCTCTGAGCTACAGTAATGAAAATATGTAAGCTAACAACCAACCGCTGCAACTTTAATCCAGGCTTACAAGTAGGAAAACACTTTTTCTGTAGGCTGTTAGGCTGAAAAATATGGAATATGCAGGACATGGTTCCCAGATCTTTCTTAAGAAAATACACTAAGAATGCCAGCTCTTTACTTCAAAATATATCCCAGATATATCCTATGTCAGCTTTCTCCAAGCCAGCAGCCTTCAGATTTCTCTAGGACTCTATAAACTCAGTCCTAAGATAGCTAAAGATGAAGGGACAAGTCTTCTGACATGTCTGACACGGCCTGCCTGAAGAAGGCTGCCCCATGTCTTTAGCCTTCTGGTTCAATGTTTGTTTTGTAGCAGGCTCACACCTCCAACTGACCCACTTGGATGTCTCTGATGTTCTTCGTGTACCTTTTAGGGCTGATGGATATGGCAGGGAGTATTTTCCCCTTGTGTAATAAAATAGGAAAGTGGGTATGTTAGGTTAGGTCCAAGGATTTTAGGCCTTATATGTTCCCCTTCTACACAAGAAAGAAAAAGTAGCTTTTCTATGAGGGAACACTGAAGCATGAAATGACTTTGTCTGATAATTAAAGCAGAATTATACTACACATAACTGCTCCATATTTTATTTTGCCCTTAGGATCTGTGTATAAAATTGGAATCACAGCCTAAACCCAGAACAAGCAGTTTGTTGATTTGTAGCATACCTGCTGTCTCAGGAAAATGCAGTTTAACATCCCATAATATGTAATGGGCCAAGATGTGGGGCTCAAACATTTTGAAAGGACTTATTTGGGTAGGCAGGGCATTTCTTCTCAGGATAAAAAAATTCCATCTAGGTTCTTTGAACAGCCCTTAAATTTTAGTTTTAAGGCTTAGAACACTCTTTCCCTTTTTACTTCTTCTCACTTATAATCCAGCCCCATCATCTATCATAATCACAGGGACACAGTTTCCTAAACTTGTTTCTCAAGTGTTTTCTTCAGTGCTTTGTTTCACATGCTAGCAACAGTCTGGATTTTTTTCTTCCCCTGCACTCCAGGATTCTTTCCTTCCCTTGTGATCTAGATTTGAAATAAGGTACCTTTGCTAATAGATGCTCTGTTTCTGCTGAAACAACACCCAGTGGCCAAAAACAATTGCAGTGGCGCCATTTGGGCAGGGAACTGGGAGAAGAAAGATGCTTTAGGTTTATACATGCCTTGCCTTGTATACTTGCCTTTATACATTCCAGCAATCAGGCAATACCTTTAGATATTTGAATTGCTTTCTGAAACTGGCAGTGTTATATTTGTGATGTCATTGTGCACACATTTCAGGAACATATGACCAAGGTACAATGTTATGCACCCAAATCCATGCAGAATTATCTATTTTAGCTAGTTGTTTGATATTTTTTTAAGAAAAAGGGTGGAAGGGAAGGGAAGGGAAGGGAAGGGAAGGGAAGTTGGTTGTGCATATATCAAGGATGATAAGAAAGACATCACAAGCACCTAAGGAAGCACCTATCTCAATTCCTGTAGACTCTAAAGGGTGAACTGCACATTCTATTAACCATATAGCATCTAACTGAGACTTGTGGAATGTTTAACTCTAGTATAACTGCATGTGTCTCCAGTTAGGATTGGGACCAGTGTGCTCTGAGAGGGCAGGATTAAGCCTTCCCACTTCATATATCTTCCCTGAAATTTTCTTCCCCCAAGGAGCAGAATTGAAAAGTTTCCACTCCAGTCAGTGGATTTTTTTTTCTTTTTCAATCCCTCTCCCCAGGAAGAAGTGGAATTTCAGAGAAGGAAATGGTGCGGGGGGGGGGGGGGGGAGTTAATTCTTCCCTCCCAGTGCAGGCTGGGCCCAACCTGAATCAGGACTGTACAAAGTTACATTAGAGGAAATTAAAACAGGGTCTGGCATACCTACACAACTGGCTGAGGACCTTGTTGTATTCTTAAGTACATTATTCTATCAAATTTGTGACACAATTAGAGTAATAAATTACATTTTTAATTATTAAGCCACTTCCTTCCAGGTTTATCCAACTTAAACTATGCCTAAATGACAGAATGTTCTATACTCAGTGCTTTGGTGGTTTAGACATCATTGTTTCTCTTTCAGCAGAATAAATCCTGTCTCTTTAAAATGCAACCTAATGAAGCTTAACTTCCCTTCTCCTTTTCTCAAAAGCAAACAAAGAATAATTTCCTTTATGAACTAATGGAAGGCATCACAAGAGCAATTATTTCATTTATTTTGATAGTCAACAAAAATTTGCATGCAGAAAAAATACACAGACTATAAATTCTAGACATGTTTAAAGATGCAAATAATTGACATTACAGAACATTTCAACTCTTGTGCTGTGCAAATTGACCTACATATTTGCCCATAGACATCTGATATTGTCAAATTGCCAGCAGGCAGATTCAAGCAGCTAAAATACATATGAGGTCCTGGTGTGAATACGAGGCTGCTTCGAAGACAGTCATGCATCCCCAACAGCTAGACCTAAGCCATTGGGAACAACGCTGTGATTTACTCTGGAAAGCAAGGGAGGCAGACTGCCACAAAAATTACATTTCCCTGGAGAATGGAGGACAACTGGGATACAGTAAACATGACTACTGTCCCTCAAATAAGCATTCCCAGGCCTTATGATGTTCAGGAGAGGCCCTTCTTTTAAGACTGCCAACTTCAGCAGCATGTTTAGAGTAATGTGCCTGCTATCTCCCAAGCTGGGAAGCCCCCGCTGAGGAAGGCTAGCTTAGCTTGCTCTCTGCTGTCCTTTCACCAGCAGGAAAAAAAATACCCTTTTCATACAAACAGGTGCTAGGTAAATAAACAAGTCAGCTTGGCTGTATGCCTTTTTTACTCTGTTGTGGTGGTGTTTTGATGCATTTGTTGTATTATTGTTTATTTAAGACTGTAAGCCATCTTGTGCACCATTTCTCTTAGTCAAAAGATATTTTTACTGGGGCAGAGGTACCAAAGCCCCACGTGTTGCCTCGGTTATGCTGTTCATGCTTGTTTAAAATTCAAGGTTCCCCTCCTTCAAATAGACAGGGCTAAGGACTTAGCCTCTTTTCATCGAGAGTAGGGTGTTATCAGAGCCATCGTCATGAGCAAAGATGATGATGGCTCTGATCATCATCTTTGCTCATGATGATCAGAGCCATCATCATGATGTCTGCTGAGGCCCTTACCCCAGCTGGACTCAATGACAAGAATCCCCTGGAATTGCTTCTCCTCATTACCACCTCAACATGCTCATTCACTGCCTCTTTCTCTGACTCAGGCAACAGTCATGGTGGTGAGCAGGAGAAGCACTCGAAGCACTTCCTACACATTCCCAGGATCTTTGATTGTCAACCAAGTAACTGATAGCAGTGACCA